GGACTTCTCTGCATCCTTGCTCTGATCCTCAGCCCAGGGCTTGCTGCCTACCCCTCTTGCCTGGAACCAAGATCCCGCAAGTCAAGTCTCCAGAGTGAAGCAGCCTTCAGTCCTCAAAGTAAGAACTGAAGCCTCGATGCTCCCAGAAACATCCTGTCTTCCTTCTGTTCCGCCCAGACCCCTACTGAAGCAGGAGGAGAGGGGTGCTTCGTTCTACTTCTACCTACTGTCTTTCAGGGCTGTTGGGTGAGCAGCTTAAGTTGACACCCATCATCATGACAAGTGGTCTTCCTGGGAGCAGATCTACCATTACAACCTCCATCTCCAAGTTACTGAAAATTCCCAATAAAGGTGCTGAAATTTTGAACTCTTCTTTCGAACAGATGCAGAAAGTCCACTTGGCTGGGCTGGACAGAGACATCATCTCTTCTGTGGGAAGACTAAGATGATTCCAGAAAAATCAGGATTAAGTCCTGCTGGTGGGGAAAAGGTCAGAAGGGGCAAGGAGCCATGAGGAGCTTTACTGATCAAAGGAACAGCTTCGGCTTGTCTCTTTGCTCATGCATTTTATCTCCTGCAGCCTACGAGAAAAAGAAATAGATGCAGAGTGGAATCTTTTCTGGGACAATAAGCTCACTGGATAAATAAGTGTCTAGGTTTTTTTCACTTGTGTTGTGTGGTGTTGTGTTGTGTTGTTGTTTTCTACAGGGTGTGTTTGCTCACCAGAGACAGAGAGACAGGGAAAGTGAACAAGCACCCCCAAGGGGGGATAGGCATGCCACAACATTTTTTCCTCCACTTCTTTGGGATTTGGGGCACACATGCATATGTGCCCCAGTGTGCCTTTTAAGCCGCTGGGTCCAGGATTCAAACCATGCCATTGGCCTTGTGGGATCCATCCACTTTAATTTCCATACCATCTGCTAGCCCCCAAAAGAAGATTTTTTAACTACATCTTATTTTTAATAGACAAACATAAACCATTTCATTTGTTAACTTTAAAAATTAAGCAGATAGGGCTGGCAAGTGGTGTGGTGGTTAGGGACACTGGACTCCCACATGGCTGACCATGGTTGGAGTCCCAGATCTGGAGACTTGTTTTCTCACTTTATCTCTCTCTTTTTCTGCCTCTCTCTGGAAATATTAAAATAGTAATAATAAAGTTAAATAAAATAATTCTTTATTTTTGGAGAGGTTTTTGCTATAGGGTGCATGCACTCACCAGAAAGACAGAGAGAGATGGAGGGACAGAAAACGAGAAATCACCCCCCAGGAGGGATGACCATGCCGCAATCCCTTCTCCTCCATTCTCTTCTCAGGATCTTGGGCATGCACGCACACGTGCCCAGCGTGAGTTTAAGCCACCAGGTCTGGGACTCAAACCATGGCCAACTACATGGGAGTTCAGCAACATAGCCATTATGCTAACTGCTCGTCCCAAAATAATTCTTTTTAAAAAAAGAAAATTAAGCAGAGAAAAACCTTTCAGAGTATGAAACACAACTACTTAGCCTTTACGAATCTCCACTTCTTCTGTAAAGTGGGAATTAAACACTCTTCAGAGTCAGCGTGAAGTCAGAATGTGATTTTTTAAAAAGATTTATTTATTTATTTATTTTATTTGTTACTACTCTTTTTTTTTTTTTTTTTTAATTTGACCAGAGAGAGACAGAGAGAGAGAAAGGGAAAGTGAGAAAGCAAACCTCCAGGTCCGGGACGGCAGTGTGGGAATCCAGCACCTTAAACCACCATGCCTCCTGCTGGCCCCCAGAGTGTGACTACACATGATCCAGCAGAGCTTTGCACGTGGTTTGGTATATATGG